ATCATTCACGAACCAACACCCAGCAATGCATAAATAACCCGTGCTCATTTTCAGATGATGGATCCAAGTGGTAATTCGCTAGAAGTTGAAGAATTGCTCGATGAGGTAAATAAATCATGTTCTAATGAATATGCCTTTTATATTAGGCTGTTTAACATGATTTTTATCGTATTTTGAATGGCCGGCTTCTAAAAGTAATCCTTCAAACAGCTGAGCAACCTTAGGTGATCAGTAGTATCTGTAATAATATCCCCTAGTGGCACACTAAACAGCATTCACTGTAGTATCATACCGCCCTGTTGTCGTTGTGGACTCTGAACCAGCCAATGCCTAGTAGTATTAGGTACTACTGACATAGGGTCATATCCATTCCCCCAGAGGAACGCGTCCACCGCCGCTGATTCAATCCTAAGGATGGGAGGACAGGGTCGCATCACGGGACCCGCCATTACTTTCGATCTTGTGACTAGCACGCTCTTTGAGGGATCTCGCTGCTCTGTCTGGTAGGTAGAAATGCAGAGGTAGGCGGCTCTTGTGACACAACCCTGTCTCCTCCAACCTTAGGATTGTATCAGTGGCGAGGGACGTGCCCCAGCGGGAAGGATTGGACACGGTTCATGTTTTAAGGGTAAGTCCGCGCTTCTCCTGGACTGCTCTTTAGGAGTTGATGAGGTGGCTACCGCTGAATTGAGCTAGCCCTAATGACTCTTCATCGCCTAGCAGTACTCTCCCAAGGTTTCCCAGCTTTACGACTTGGTCCAATGAATTGAAATGCTAAAGTGGGAAGGAAATCGTTGGTCATGGTCATGGTGGGCCCACTGGATTGGTATTAGTTTTGCATAAGTGGTATAAACGATTGCATTTGAGAAGCCACCAGAAGGTTTTCCACCCTCTATTAAGCGCAGTGAACACGATCATGGAAAGGGGAAGGCGAATTGGAGACCCTATTGATGGTAAAGCGTCCCGAGGCGGCTCACCGCTATCATAGCTGGTTACATTACCTTTTGACCTCTTTCCACTAGTGACTCTCCTAATTCATTCTCGTTTTTCCCGGCTATCGTGTTTATTGCCTTTAATAGGATCCACGGTGCCACATAGATTCTCAGTTTATACTACCTAGTACGACGATTCTTGGATGTAGATATAAGAAGCTCATAGCGGTATTGTACGGGACATCGGTAAAACATAGGCAAAAAGCTGAATAGGTCAGAGTAATTAGGTAATTGAGCTTATTCGAGACGACATCGATCCGATTCCATTGTTTGGTTATCGGACCCATCTGGTTTTCTTGGCCAGTCTGATGTTTTTATTCATTTTATAGACGGTGTCGCGTATTGCTAGAGCCCAATACAAAAACGTACGTTTTTTCTTTTTTTGTTTCATGTATTCACATGTTTTGTAAAGGATGACTATTATGACGACGAGGAAGGTAATGAAGAGGACATTGAGGATGACCTGAATGCGCTCGGAGTTCCCGTTGACTCACTAGCTACAGTGCTTACGGGTCGAGGAGGTGAAGGATTCAAATTGAATTGGAAACAGGTGAGTTTTAAAACTATACATATGTAAAGTACAAAACGATGACGACGATTTCTTCTTATGCTATGCATCTAACAGTTATCTCAGCTGATGAGTGGAGGCCTGGACTCGAGAAATCGCGATCAGCGTGGTGGTAACAAGAATAACTTCCGTTCATGGGACGACGAATTAGTATTGAAGTGTTCGTTCCAGGTGAGAAGTAATGATTTCATTTTTTCTCGTGATGGATGTAAAAATTTTGTTTGAGGCGTTAATTCCTGCGTTCGATCCAAGACCCGGCCGTACGAATGTGAACCAGACTCAGGATGTGGAACTTCCCGCTGTGGTACCCGATCCCGCACAAACGAAGCCAGTTACGGTATGTTATTGCTTATTCTTTGTTTTCACGTCAATTTGTTTTGTTTTCCCCTTCCCGTTTTTCGCTGCAATTCGCGATGTGGAAGTTATCGCAGGCTTATTGAGTTATGGGCCAAAATTTTCGCTTCAAAAAGCAGCAGTGAACAAAATAAATTAAGTCAAATGTTGTGGCATCCATTGAAGCTTTCGGCTTCGAGGTTCAGTGTCCAAATCGGTTGACCGACTTTCGTGTTGTACTTGAAAGTGCTGATAAGTGTGGCAGTTTTATCTGGGTTAGGGTGAAAGATGGTTTAGGGGTGTAATGGTTTTACTTGGCCTGGCTAGCGCGTGATCCGGATTCGAATCGTGGCAGACCCAAAGCGTTTTGGACCTAACTCAGCATTTGTGTTACATATCTCCTGTGAATATTTATCAAGTTCTCTTTCAGCACCCCGAGGAGACCTCCTTGCGGTTGTTCCTTCGCGGTCCGAATATGAGCGGTATCGAGAATGTGACTATTGAGATGGGCGCGGACGATCACAGCCTATTCTACTACGTCCAAGCGCTGGTTGGTGCTATCGATTGGGGAGCGGTGAGTCATCCAGGTGTTTTCTGATAGAGTGAATATTAATTTCGGAATCTGGTGTTGTAGAAGTGCGAACGCAGCCGTCGTGTATGGGAGCCAACGTACACGTTGGTTTATGAAGATGCATCCTTACCTTATGTGACCAAGTTCTCTCATGTTGCGTCAGATGACAGCAAAGTCCCACCTGCTGTCAATGAGGTACTTTACTGAGCTTGGAAGCTTGAAGTTGACCTATTGTGTATCCGCAACTCTTTCAGTGCCTCGAAGTTATTGGTCTTTTGTCCCGAATTGGAGAGCGTTTCCCTGACGCGCAGATCAGTCCACAGGTGTTCATCAGCGACAAGCTGACTCTGAAACTTACTCAGGTATTTCATACTTCTACAGCTTTCAACCAGATGGATATAGAATTTTTCCTTGATCGTGTAACCGTTTTGAAAATTCGTTGTTTCAGGAGCTATCTGACGCATTGGTAGTGGCCGCAAGAGCTATGCCCGACTGGTGTTCTCGTCTGATTTACGGCTATCCATGCCTGTTTTCCGCTGAAACCAAGTCAGTTCACTTTCCACTACCATATCTTTGAGGATCTTTCCCTTTTTTTGGTGACGAATATCGTCATTTCAGGAATATGTACATGCAAGCGACCGCATTCGGAGTATCGCGTACGATAGTATGGCTACAGTCTCGCCGCGATGCTGCACTAGATCGGGCAAGAGGTGCTGCTCAAAGTACCACCAGTAGCGCAACCAGACCTCACGATCGGTATCAGGAGTATCGCGTTGGGCGGTTGAAGCATGAGCGTATAAAGGTTTGTTTTTTTAATACTTTTGTTAAGTGTTGGTTTCTATTGAAGAGCGTTTGAATGCAACCGCAAACATCCATGCTGGTTTTTCTAGGTTACTCGATCGGAGGAGCACCTTTTGGAACAAGCCATACGTGTAATGAAATTCCACGCTGATCGGAAGGCTGTGCTTGAGATAGAATACGTTGGTGAAGAGGGTACAGGCTTGGGTCCTACACTGGAGTTCTATGCATTGGTTAGTGTTGAGCGAAGTTTGAATTCTTCTTTCCTCCAACAGTAGCCATCCTTTCAGGTTGCTGCTGAGCTGCAAAGAAAGGCGCTTGCCATCTGGCTATGTGATGACATGGATGAACATCAGCTGAAGATGGAGGAACGAGAGCTTGATCTTGGCGAAGGAAAAAAGCCACCAGGGTGAGTTGTCCTTTATGAATCTACTTATGTATGTGTAACGTATTTCTGCTCTATTATTGGTTCAGATTCTACGTGCGTCGTGCTGGAGGTCTGTTCCCAGCCCCTCTGCCACCACATACTGATGAAGTTCGTCGTGCGTCTGAGATGTTCCGAGTTCTCGGAATCTTCCTCGCTAAGGTGCAGTCTGCATCTTATCACCAGCTCTGTTTGAGTTGGACCATTCAACTTCGACAGTAACATTTATTTGTTTTTAGGTCCTCCAGGATGGAAGACTTGTGGATTTGCCATTGGCTCGACCATTCTTGAAACTTATCGTATCACCACATCTTAGCGAAGCTGAAGAGCCGTCACTCGATCGAGTGCTTTCGTTGGATGATTTTGAAGAGGTCCATCCTGTCAAGGGTAAGAAATGATTATTTTTGCAGTTCTATTTTTTTCTTGTATTGAATGACCGGATCGAAAGCTTTCTGGAAGAGAATGACATCTCTCAATTGAAGTTTTTAAATACGGCTCCTTTGAAATTGGTCAGTCTAGGTTCACAAAAGCAGAATTTCGAAATCAGGCTCCAAAAGCTGTTTTGTTGTTGAGAACATCTTTGATTGGGTGTAAAGCATGATTTAAACCGGTTTTTCTCAACATAGCTAGTCCAGTGATTCCATCAGTGCGCATTAGACCAAGGTTTTTTTTATTATGCACGCGTACAAAAAAGAGCTACGTAGAAGGTCTTATAA